CACATTCTTATGGTGTATCAAGTAGAATTTAGAAAATGATGTAAAGATTTTATATGATTTTGAGAACTCCATCAGTCAGTTCCTGAAATCATAAACACACACACACACACACACACACACACACACACACACACACACACACACACATTCTTATGGTGTATCAAGTAGAATTTAGAAAATGATGTAAAGATTTTATATGATTTTGAGAACTCCATCAGTCAGTTCCTGAAATCATAAAGATTAGATTAGGAACACATTAAGGGTAGAAACAGGGTGAATATTCGTTCTTTTGTTTTATCAGTTTTTTAATAAAAGAATAAGAGTTTCCATTGGAGGTTTTAGGAATCAGTAGAAATGCCAGCGATTGCTCTTTATACATTATACAAATATATAAATATATCTTATATATGGATTCCTGGTATAACAAAATTCCCACCCACTTTTTCACTTCAGACTAGATACTGGAGAGCACCTTTAGCCTATTCTTAGACTATAACAGTCTTTGTTTTGCTTGGAATAGGGCATACTATGGTATTGCAACCATTTGTTTTTTCCTGTGAGTTTATGAGTGGGTCTTTGTCTTTTTTTGCAAGGAAACTCCTGACCTCTGATCCATCTACTTACTTTTTTGCTGTTACCAGCAGTGTTGTCTCCTTCTCCTGCTTGCTGCATACCTAATTCCTTTTTGCTTCAGATTTTATAAGCCTGTATTCATTATATAGTGTACTAGACTCCCTCTTCTCTCTTGTTTTACCAGAAATCGCCTCCTCTGAGGTACCTGCCATTTGGCTACAGCAACAGGGTTACCCCTTCCCCTTGCTTCTTTCCCCCAACTTCTTGTCCCTGTTATTCACTCATTAAAGACTGGACTTGCAGTTCTTCATCCTTATTTAATTCCATTGTTTTTCACCTCCTTCTATTTCATCCCCTTCTGTTAAGGCCACATTCTGCACGGTGTAGATACCTAGAACTTGAGCATGTGAAGTCTTCATTACACTCTCTGTTGACTCCTTTTGCCCTTCAGGCTTTCGCATTCATTTTCCTACCACCTTATTCTGTGACTAAAAGAGTCCCACTTTTTAATCCCATTTTTTCTTTTTCGTTTCTGACTGCGTGAAATGATTAATTATTCAAACTCTCAGTGTGTTCCCTTATCTCACATCCCATCTTCACATTGTGCCCCTCAGCCATATTCTCAACACTGAATTAGTGCCATGACCAAGGCAGCTAGTATTCGTAGGGTCTCACATGGTGAGGTAAATTTGTCAAAATTTGTCACTGAAAATTGCTATTATTCCATCAGCTTATTTAGTTGTCAGTTCTCCTGTCCTTTTACTCTCAGAAGATGATGTCACTTCTATTTAAGAAAATTGAAACCATGAGGCACAATTGGCCTCAGTTCCTGACTCCTTTCCTACCTCATCCAGGTCTATACCCCATCTTTACCCACAGGAGGTTTTCTTTCTCCAGTTCAAGGATCTTTTTATCTACTTTTCTTGGTTACTGCAGTTCATTTCTTCCCTTCAGTACTAGCCTCAGGTAACCACTAATCTAATTTCAGTCTTATTGTGGATATTTCAGATGAATGCCTTCATATATTATTTGATCTCTCGTGTTGACTTGTTTCAGTTGGCATGTGTTTTTGAAGTTCATCCATGATGTAGCTTATTTAATTCTTATTTATATATTAGTCATACTTCATTCCTTTTTTATTGCTGAATAGTATTCTGTTGTGTGGATGTAGCAGTCTTGTCTATAAATTTACCAGTTGGTATACAGTTTACTGATTTTAAATTGTGACTCTCACCTCTTCTCAAAATGTCTTTAGCTTGACACCCCTCTTATTATTTTCTTGGTAATTTCTGATATTCCTTCTGTTTCTTTCATTCTCTTTTGCATCTACCTTTTCCCTGCATGTTGCTTTTTCCAAGATTTGGTTCATTATCCACATTGCTCATATTTTTATCTTCTCTTTGTTTTGAATTGCAAGACTTCTGTGTGGCTACCTGCACACTGACCTCACCAGAACAGCATGAGTATGTTATATAGGTGCTTTCTAAACATTTCTGCCTTTTGTCTCTTTTTACTTGAACCTCAGCATGTCTATAATGAATTCATCTTCTTTTCCTTCTAAACTTCCATCTAGTTTTTGTTCTCTGTACCATTTGGTGGCATCGCCATTTCCTTTGTCACCTAATCCAAAGGTGACTTCTCCCCCTTTCCTGAAGCCATTTTCTGAGTTATTCCCTAAGTCTGGCAATATTTTCTTTCTTGCTGTGTTATAGGCTCTCTTCTTTTCCTGCCTGAACTTGGATAACAGGGAGATCTCTTGTACCTCTTATTTTACCTCTTTAAATACATCTGCCTCCTGGTTGCCAGGATGAAGTGTTAAAAATACAGATTTGTATGATTTTCATCATTTACTAAATAAAATCAGAGCTTGGTGTGGAATGTAAGGCCTTCTGAGATCTTGTGCCCTGTGTTTAATTAGTCTTGTATCATCCCACTTTGTGCCATAAGTGTGGTGCTGTGGTAGCAACACTTGGGGATTTTTACTCACAATACCCTTTTGCTCAGCTCCCTGGCTAGAATCCACTGCCTGAACCCTTCTCTTCCATCAGTCTAGGCATTTCTCATTTCTTCCTTGTTAATGTACATATATAAATGAATCTGTTTTCCTTCAGATTGCCTTTATTCCAGTTCACTCATTTCACTTCTATAAAAGAAATCTTTTAGAAATTCCACTGTGATCATGTTGTCCTGCTCAAAATTCTTAATTGGCTTCCTGATGTCTTAATGTTTTTCACTAACACCTTGTTTTCCTCTACATATCTACCTTTTATGTCTGTAAATATTCAGATGATTCTAGCCAACCATTCTATCCTCATCACCTCTCTATCTGGGCATGAGATTGATGCTTCATCTATGTACATAATTTCTTGATTTTTGTCTTTTTATTGTGTGCTGTGCCTTTGAGTAGGTTGTATCTGTTCTGCCGAAAATGGTGTTTAGCACCATCCTAAGCTGTTGGCTTTTGTTATTTAATTTCTACTTCAGGTTTAGCATAGCTGATACTTCCTGTGTTCCATAAGGTCTTACAGATACTTCCATTTTAAGCATACTCATTAAATTTAATTGCAATTAATCAATTTTTATGTATATTTTCCTCAGTGTACCATAACCTTTAAGTCACATTGCTCATTGTCTTAAGAACATTATAGTACTTTTTCTGTATTTGTTGAATGAACCATTGAATGACTAAAATGGAGAACAGAGTTTGCCACTTTTTAACATCTTACTTACAAATCAACTTGGCCAGAGAGCTAATGGTTGGGAACAGTAATCAATGTTGACATTTAGATTTTGAACTCTTAATCTGAGGTCCATATGTCTATCAAGAGAATTCTGATCAAATTAAGAGCATTTTAGTATTATTTTTATTTTATTTTTGTGGTGCTAGAGACTGAACCTAGGGTCTTAAGCATGCTACACAATGCTTTATTGCTGAGTTGCACCCCCAGCACCATATTTTAGCTTTCACTTCTTGCCCTAACTCTATAGTCCTAGCCCTAACTCTATAGTCCTTAACTGTAGGATGGGAAATCTCAAGGGAAGTCTCATCAATTGCCAGAACTTACTTCCTCATGTGTAATTGAAGGCCCTTTCAGTTTTAAACTTTGAATACTCTAAAACACTATGAGAAAGGTAGATGATATTATGGAACAGACCCAATTTGAAATCTTTCTTTTGTGATGTTCACAGGATGGCTTACCACCTCTTCTACTTGTTTACCTACATAGTTCAGTCTTGCAAAGTAAAAGCAGTTAGGCCTGGATTTTGGAGAATGGGATGCCCAATCTGATAACATATAAAGTTAATCAAGATTCTGTAATTAAACATTAAGGGGGCTAATGAAATTATATTTGTTTTTTGTTCATCCTAGATTTTATGTGCTTTTGGTCTAAAAAGAAGGAAACAAACAAAACTCAATATATATAAAAGCTTAAGGCTTTTTAATGGCTAGAAAGAGTAAAATATGAAAGATTTGCATTTATTTTCTGCCACATTTGTATTCAATTTGCCATTTTGCATTTTTTTGTTTTATTTTATTGAAGGTATTAGCAGATGAATGTGACTCTTTCATAATTTTAGTAATATGATCAGCCTATTAAACTTTTTTTGAAGAGCACATAGTTGTTTATTTCTAAAAGGAAGTAGCAAGATGATTATTAAATGTTTTCCTAAACAAAAGGTAGCTTGTCATAAAAAATCACATCAAAAAATGTATTCTAAAGTAATTTTACTTTTAGGTTGAAACTATAAAATCAAAATAATTATTTTGTTTTCTTTGTGTGTTAAGTATTAAATGAATAAAATTAGTAATTTGGGCAGATGGGGGAAGAATTAATATGTGAGTAAAATACTCCGAACCTCTTAAAACTTTCATAAAATAAAGTGCAATTAGAAGTTCAAAAATGGCCTTTACAATGGTGTCAGAGAATGACACAGTATTAAAGCATTTTAAGGATCCAACCTCCCTTAGTTTCCTAACAAACTAAATACAGTATTTATGAGGAGAATCAATACTGTGAGATACTTGGGGTGCGGGGAGCTTTTAAGACCCATTCTTTTACCACAGAGAGCCTTAGAATGGAGTATTGTTTGTTTTCAGTTAGTATTTTGTATAGTGGTTTTCTGTTCAAATATTGTCAGTAGTGTCACTGTAGAGATAAAATTATAACCATTTGCATCCTCTGTTTCTGGTTAGAATGTTGTTTTGCTTTGGAGAAAACATTCCTATTTGGTTTAAATATTCAGACTAATTTCCCCTCAGAATTACCTCTAACCCTTTTCCCTTCCAGTGCCCAAGCATCCTGTTTTCACCAGGCTCGCTGTCTGCCCTGGATGACTAATCGTCCTGGCACCTGGTGCATTCAGGCAGGCCTGTGCATCGGAATCGTCATACCTAGTTATGTCTGCACACCTGATGTTTTATTAACCAGTATTGATTTTTTTACCCGGGGGACTTTTTTCTTCCTGAAAAAAGGCAACCTTGCAGGAGTGAAAGGCATTGCAGGGGATGAATTTCTAATGAACCCCTTCTTTCCCTTTTTGTGACTCTTCTTTAATGTAGCTTCATATTTTAAGTGCCTGAACCGAAATTTCATTTTAAGCAATTCCATTTTGATAAATCCTTTTAAATCTTGACTTTCTGTAAGGTTATTTTTTAAAGATTGTGCTGCTTGACTGAAATGCTTAGTAGTGCCTGTAAATTTGAGCATTTCATTATAGGCTGCAATGAAGCATGCTCACATGCAATGAAATACAGAGAATTTTGGACTTCTTGAGTAATGCTTAAAGAAATAAAAAGGAAGAGAAATCTCATGTCATATTTCAGGTAGTCCTCAAGTTTCTTCTAGATCATTTAGAATCAGTTCAAAGAAGTAAAGAAACAGTGCAAGTTATGAAGTAGCCTGATATCATAAAATGAATATGTAGCCCAACAGTTATTTAGTGACAGAAGAGGATTTTTTGCATTAGAATATAAACATTTATACTCAATATTTATAGTAATTCTTTTAGAGACATCCTAAAGCTAAGTGATAGTAAAGTACCTCTGAGGTTTTTCGTCCCTCAATATGGGATGGATTATCCATTCAAAAAAAAATTTCGTTGTTTGTATGCATTTTTGTATTGAACTTATATGATAGCATAGATTTACACATTTGCCATAAATTAGGGGGAGTTTCTTAATCATTCCCTTCTGACTTTGTATTCAGCTGTAGGTTGGTTGTGCTTTCACGGCTGCATTTTTAATTTACTGCCTCAGTCCATCAGGCATTGTGTACAGACTGCATACACACCATTAGTTGTCAGTAGATGAGGGTCCTCATGAGTCATTCTGACAGCTAGCTTGCACTATCACAATAAAATAGGTCCTGTTCTGTCATTTCTCTGAAACTGGAAACAAGCCTTCTCCAAGGAATGTATATCTTCTGAGATATTACAGATCATTTATGCATTAAGCATCATCATTTTGAAAATGGTTTTATTACTAATTCTTTATTAATAATACATTAATTAACTGGCCCTTCTGTTCTATTTACAGTTTTTGGCACTGGGCACACATTATGGCAAGGTTTATTTACTTGATGTCCAGGGAAACATCACTCAGAAGTTTGATGTAGTAAGTATATGGTATAAAATAATGTATGTGTTAAACTTTATGCTCAAAATTTATGCTCTAGAGTACTAGTTTTAGCATTTTGTTTTAAGAGCATAAAGAGGATCTTTTGACTGGGATTTCTTATGTATATTTTGACGGGGTATCTTTTATATGTTAACTCCATGTAAAATCTATTTGTATGAATATTATTAATTATTATTTTTTAATTAATTAAAGTCATTCATTTGACCGCAAATGGAACATTTAGAATACTCTGTGTGTTCTTTTAAAATTTTAACAAAGTGTCCAGGTGAATTGTTATTAGACCCCCCAAAATACTGCTATTGTTAGTTCATAATGCTAGTTTATATACCCTGAGAGTTTGTGGAAGCCTTAAAGTATGAACTCCCTCAGTTGGTGACTGATACCACTTGGAAGCACATGACTTGTCATTTTATTGAGATACTACAAATAACTGAAAATTGATTGATCATCTTGCTAGATCAGTTTATCTCTTCTGAATATATAGAGCTAAAATATTTTTTGTGAGTGTTCTGAGGTTTGATCTTAGAAGTTTTGTAGATTGAAAGCAAAGCTTTTTATTATTTTTTTAAATTATGATTTGGAATCATTGAGGATAAAGGAAATGTTGAATTTGAAGCTTGATGTTTAAAGTATACCTTAAAAGAATCTATAACTTCCATTTTTGTGTGAATATTAATATTTGGGGTTGAATAAGATGCTCATATTGGGGTCAGAAATTACTTTTTGAAAAAAAAAGGAGCACCTGTTGAAAGATTCATCCTAAGCTACTAATGTAATTTACAAAGAGACTGCAGTTTCTAAAGGATCGTGTGTGGAAAGGAAAAGGAGTGCCTTGTTTTGCTTAAAAGAAATGGAACCACAGAATGGTGATAGAATCTTTGGAGTAGCCCAGAAAGGGAAACAGGCCTACTAATCATACTGACACCTCATGGAAATTGTGGCTGCTGCTTCTGCTTTCGCATCCCTTTCAGGCAATAGGCATATACTTTTGACCCTCTCTCATCTACCTCCTGCACAGTGTACATACCAGCATACATCTTGATATCCTAAACATCCGGTGTTTCAGTTACCAACCACTAAAATGTGTAACTGGGCCAGAGCGTGTGTGTGTGTGTGTGTGTGTGTGTGTGTGTGTGTGTGTGTGTGACTGTGTGTATGTGTGTGAGAGAGAGAGAGAGAGAGAAAGAGAAAGAGATGCTATGCTTGTTTCTTCATCTTTAAAAAAGAGTTTGCCTATATGATCTCTTAAATTTTCTGCTCCAGTTTAATTATTTCTCAGAAGTTCTGCTGCCAAGTAAGTCTTTTTAAAAGTGTTGTATAGAAGTTGCAGTGCTTGCTTGCTAAGAGTTGAGGTATGTACTGTTGTTGTATTTCTGAAAAGCAATCCTTGCGTCTCTTCAGTGTATACTTTTAATTATAGCTTCTCTGAAGTAAGTTTTATGTCAGGTTATCCTATATGCATTTCTTTCAGATGATTTATGATATACGTAAATTTTCCCTAACCTTCAGTCCCCCCCTCTACTCTCAGTCCTGCTTGTATGACATCTTTGAAATTAAGCTCTTTATAGCATTTCACCATTTTTTGCCAGGGGAGGATGACTGGTGCTATTTTTGTTTCTTTGTTTACCCAAGAAGTTAATAGTTCACTGTGGGAAAGTTTTATATAAGGCTAAGTCTTCTTGATGATCAGTATCATATTAAATGACTTTTAAGTGATGTTTCAGATTTCCATTTTCTTTTGAAAGAAGTCTAAATCTTGGGCTTCTTATCTATGAAAATTTCCCCTTTATTCCTTTTTCTCCCCCTGTTTCTGATGATGTGGTTGCTTTGTAGGCCTCTGTCTCATTGCTCTTTTAAAAAGGAAATCTTTTCTAAAAACTGAATTTGTGAATTTTCTTTGAATTTAATGATTGCCATATTTAATCAAGAACTTTTGTCTTTATTGGAATAAACACAATGAAAAACAAGGATTTTAAAAAATTAATGAACTGACACTCCTGACTTTAGTTTTTAGTTCTAGGTAAAAAAAAAAAGTAATTTAAACTAATTAACAGTAGACAAAATAATAATACTTTACATTTGCGAAACTTTTTTCCCAAGAAATATCATCCTAACTCATCCATTGTTTATATAGTTTAGATTCCAGTAATAGAATTAGGAAGCAGTAGTTCCTTACCCTTGTTGATCAATAGGGTTTTGTTTTTACAGAAGGTACCATAAGTTTTGATAGAGCATACTATTATTAAGGAATCACTATTTTAAAAGGTTTCCTAGGGGATTCTATTGTTTGAATGTGGATGAAATCATTGCACCAGAAAGTCTCTTAACTTTACATAAAATATATGTGATATAAAAAAAGAAATAACTAAACAAATCATTCTGCATGTTGAAGAAGGGTGTGTTTTTCTATTAATATTTTGAGAGAAATGCTGTTTAGCAGAATCTACTAAAAGTGAGCCTATGCACTTCTAGGTACATGTTCAAGAAAAATGCATGCCGTGCAGATGTCCACAAGAAACATAGAAGGTTAATGTGACTTATTTCATAACAGCTGCAAAGTAGAAACAACCCAAATGTCCATCAATAGTGGAATGGATACATAAATTGTGATGTGTTCTTAGTATTCAAAAGAATAGACTATCTAGTCAGGCATGGTGGCACATGCCTATAATCCCCACTACTGGGAGACTGAGGCAGGAGTGTGGCAGGTTCAAAACTAGCCCTCACAACTTAGTGAACTGACTCTGTCTCAAAATAAGAGATAAATAAGTAAAAAGGGCTGGGAGTATAGCTTAGTGGTAAAGCACCCTGGGGTTCAATCCCTAGTAATGTCAAAAAGAATATGTAATGACATGATATATTTCACAGATTTGATATAAACTGAAGAAGCCAGACACTCATATGTATTTGTTATGTGATAACTTTTATATACTATGCTAGAAAAGGCAAAACTGACTCTAATGATAAGAGATTAGATAACAGTTTGACCTGGGAGAAGAGAGGATAGAGAGTGCTGAAAATACTGACTCAGTGGCTTCCCGAATATATACAAATATAAAATACATAGGTATATTTGAGTTGTATCTCAGTAGCACACATACACGTGTACACATCACTGTGCATGTTTGTGTGTCTTTGGCGGACCTTGGGCATGGCTCAAATTATCCCTGTCTGTTGAAGTAACCCCTTCCACTACTTGCTTATAAAATACCATTGCCTTTCCTAGGTTTTTATCCTGTTCCAATATCTTTATGTAAATGAGTTATGCCACTGAGTTAGTCTGTATTCATCTGTGACTGTTCTCTTATTGATTATGATTAAGAATGACAACTTCTTTAACAAAAAAATGCCCAATAAACCTCTGACTCTGTTAGTGTGAAACTTTATTATGGGTGTTATCATTCATGTTTCAGTGTATTTGAAAGAATATTTAGCATATATGTTAATTAAAATGCTATAGCCATAATTTTTTGAGATTGACTAGATATAACTTAATGTTAATCCAAAATTACTTCATAAAGTTTTACTTAACTCACAGTAAAATTAAAATAAGCCTAACTGTCACATATAATAGCTCAAATTTCTAAGAAATTATATATAATAATACAGGTCAAGCTATATTCTCCTGGATAATTGTTGTCTTAATTGCTTATACAGAATATAATTATTACTTCAAAATTCTTAGAGAATCCCAAATTCCTTTAGAATTCCCATATGATATTTATGCCTATATAGTCTCATTAATTATAGTAGTTACTTTTTCTTTAAAAGCCTTCATTTTTCTTAAATATAAATGTATAGTTTTTAAAAGTTATTTAAAAAAAGTTATTTTAAAAGTTATTTTAAAAGTTAATTAAAACTTAAGTAATTAGGAGTACTTACTCTGAACCAATGATCAAATTATTGTGTCATCTCTCTATTGAAATTTTGGAGCATTTTATCTTATGATTTAAATGTTAATTCCTTTAAGTATGCTCCTGGAAGAGCAAAGAGCTTCATTGATTAAGCCAAATTTCTGCCATTTACCTTTATGTCTCTTTCTTCCTTTGGTAGAAAGAGAAGATGACAAGCTTTGCTGTTATGACAGGAGATATTAAATGAATACTGTTAAACAGGATGATTACAAAAGGAAAGGGATAAGAGAAAAAATGGGCTTATTGGATATTTTATGTTAAGATAAATATCAAATATTTGAAATTAATCTCTTAAGAGGAGGGTTGAGGAGTTTCCTTGAACTCTAGGTTGCAGTCTATTGGTATTCCTATTTTTTAAAAAATTTAGGATTAAATTTACAGACTCCATTCCTTAGTTGTTAATTAATCTTTGTGTTCATATGCTAACAAAATTCCAGAATTCCTTAATTCATAGGATTTGTTTTAACTCACTCCTCCTTGGTCCCTTTGCTTCTGGTCACCCTTTCCAGCCCAGTCTTCAGCCTAATCATTGTGTCTCCAATATTCCATTGCTCCTCATGACTTCCCAGATACAGTCCTAATTAGCTAAGCATTCCAAACCCTGGTCATGGCCAGGAACTACCTTTCCAATATCCAATATCTAGTTTCATCCCTCTCTAGTCATTATCTTCTTATTATTGCTCTCAGCATGCTTGCTCCTAAGCTTTTAATCATGTCTTTTTCCCTATAATTCCCTTCTTCAGTTAAATTTTATTCTTTCTGTGAAGTTCTTTCCCTGGATTATTGTCCTGAGGTGTTTTCTTGCTCTGAACTCCTGTATAGTTATCATTTCACATGTAGTATTGCTCCTTGTCCTGTCTGTTGGAGCTTCCTGTTCAGGTCTTAGAGGGCAGGGGCTATGTCTTCTGCTATGCTCCTTCTCTCTTCTTCCTTCTTGTTTCTCTGGGGGAAACAAGATGTTGGATAATATAATTTTGAATCATACCCATAAATGATGTTTTTTTGGTCATTATTCAGCCTTTCAGAAGGACCCATGGGAGCCAGGTCTTTGCTCTCTTATGT